AGTGCATAAAATATTTGACAGTGGACAGTTTTAGGACCGCATTAATCCATTTTGAGCTCATCCTCTCCCCGTTAGGCTGTCGCTGGAATTCATATCATTCCAGCCGTCTACCCTTGTAGACGTTCATTTGTTCAGATTCTTTCCATGGAAGCCCGCTATAATGTTTCAAAAGATTCAAATGATCCCTAGCCAAGTGTGACTTAGTCCTAAATTTAAATCCACAGCGTTTACTATCATTTTCTACATAACATTTCTTCGTCATAAAAAGCACACACCAATCATAAACATGTTTATTTAGAAACTTTTAGTAGACATTTATCTTTAAATAGTTCACTTTGGCAGATCAACACTGCACATCAATGCTTAAATAACTTTTTTCTTCCCAAGATCCAATGGTTTCTGTGGTTGTTCACATGATTTAAATGTGACTGTCATTATATTCCAGTGTGAACAGTCCATGGCCCAGAAATGACCACATGCTCAGAAAAAGACAAGTCGTCAAAAACACGCTCTGAAGTTGTTTAGCAGTTGGAGTTGACAAAATTATCTGCCATGCTTGTTGTGTCCAGTGTTTACATTTGAGCTTGCCACTTCTCCATTACTCACACACAGAACGTCACTTCTGGGATTGACATAATGGAAGTGAAACAAACTCAGATGTCGATTCTATCACGCTAGTGTCGATACAATCAGACATCGATGTTGGCACGGTGTGTTGTTGTGGACTCAGTCACCCAGAACATGGCAAATCTAACAAGTAACAAACAAAAAAACAGGACTTTTATTTTGTAATCGAAGGCGTTTTGCTTCCCATCTGGGGAACTTTAGCAATTATCAGATTTCCAGGATATAAACTGCACGACTTTGGTACGGTCAACATCTGGACCAATCCACAAATTTACTTTAACACAAAAAAAGTCAGATGAAATGCAATATTTCATCTTGACAGTGATTATTTTGAAAAATATCACATACATATCTGATTTAGTACCACACATGAAAGTGACCTGGGTCTTATTTGAAAATAAATAAATAAATAAATCTGACATTCAGACCATAAAATTAAATAAATAACTATAGCTACTTTGCCTGCAGTAGATCCAGCATTGTAACACCATTGTGTTGTAGGATGAAGCTGACATGTGGGTGTTTCCATCGTCAGTCAAGCGCTTCAGGTGCAGCAGATTAACCAGTTTTAGCTTGACGTTATTTTTTTTTACCACAGCTAACAATGTATTGTCTGATTTCAGTACTTTTGCAAATGAATCAAGCAAGACTGAGAGGAAACTACGAGTTTTCCTTTAATATTCAGTTAAGAGGGTTTGTATTAGTTTAAAGATGGCTACAGAAAGACGTGGAAAGAGATGGTTTAATTTTAAACTCTTGCATAAAAAGATGGCGGGTGATATGCATTCCTTTAAGGATTGCTAAGCCTCTAATTTACCGTACTTGCCGCAGTACACATGCACCGCCGTATAGGTCGTATCAATCCAAATATGTCTAATAAAGAGTAAAAAAATAATAAGTTGCATTGCATCTATTATGCATCACCGCTGACAACCTGGAAAAATGGGCCGGTGTTGTGCCAAATATCGATTGGCTGCGGGAGCGTATACGGGAGGAATTTAACAAGATTAACACTTGAAAACAATTATTTGTTTGATTGACATTATAGCAAAGGTGTGTCTCAGTTGAACTTTTCTTTAATAAATGCATTTTAATGTTCAAATCATTTCACCTGGGTGGAGCAGCGAAATGCAGCTGATTTGACGTTTGCTCCACGAGTTCCGGAGCGAGACAAAGGTTGCTTTGTATGGCAAGCCAAGTGTCTATTTAATAGCCACTTTTATCTATTAATGAGACACTTAGCTTGCCACATTAGTCGAGGGTCCTCTAGCAGCTGAAAATTGTAGTGTTCAATATTTCCCATGTCAGAACGAACGTCGTCAGATCTCAGTCAAAAATTAGGTTATAAATATGGGAAAAAAGAACAAATATGTTGCTTCGCTGTATAAGTCGCAGGACTTGCAAATTTATGCAAAAAGGTGCGACTTATGAGAAAGATTTTGTGCCGCACCTGCAGATGTGGTTGTGCAGCATGGCACCAAATATCTCCTGGTGATTTGCTGCGATTGTGATGTTTGTAAACTTAACTACAAGTTTGCCATCACAAGATGAATGCATTTTAAATTGTTGATGTGAAGCAGAGAGCAGCTCCGACTCGTTTTCTCAGTCCACTCACAGCAGACACTCTAAACTGTCACTCACAAGACGTTAAAACTGATGGATGCTTATTGGCGTTGAAAACATCCACCATACATCTCTTATGTAAATCGGCTTCATTCAAGTCAACTGTAATTGGAGGAGAAGTCTGTATTTCCATGCAGCCGTTCGTTTCATCACGGTGACCTTGATGATGTAATGGGACTCACAAATAAGAGCTGTTGTATTCCATTATGGATGTATCCTCTTTCTGTCTCATTTGGTGGAAATGGGTCCAGAAAATGGGCCTTAAATGGGGTTTAAGGGAGATTTTGTGCAATTTGTGTTAGATTTGTAAAAGCAGGAGCCCTACACCTCACAATAATTTAATGTAAAATGCGGCATTGATCTATACGGCAGCTAGATTAAACATTTATGAGAACTTTATTAGTTTTTTTTGGTAACATGTTGCATATTGCTAGAAGGACTAGATCAAAAATAAGAAATGTGTACATATAGTGCGCACAATACTTAAGACTCTGATTCACCTTGAAAAGGGCCATTTAAACAAATGTTTTCTAAATAGATTAATAAAAATTATGTATGAGACATGTGCTTTAATCCTAATTTTCAGAGATCAAAATCAACTTGCAGTTAAATCTGTAAATATTTATCAGCTTAACGCTAAACATAAAAACATTTAATTTCCCATCATTGTTGAGCAATAACTGAGGATGTGATGAATTGTCAATTATTAAAGAGAAATTAGGACAAGATCTTAATTAGCAATTCTAACAGTAAACTAACACGTTTTTGTTGACACAAAGTTTCACAGTTAATCCGTTTAAAGTGCTCTTTTGGCACAAATGTCTGAATAAAATTAAATGCCTAGTATCACTATAATCACATATCACCCGCTGTATTTAGTGCCAGAACTGTTTGAAATGTTCACTCTATCACTACATCTGGATCTCTATATAGTAGAATATATTGGAGACAGTGCCATGTTTTTACATTTCAAACACTTAAATGCAGCACAAGTCTGGATGTTCCATCAGGTGTTGCATAACAAATATTGGCAAGACGTTTTGAAATACACAGTCTGAGGTGGTGGACAGTATAACTTCACTGGTTTAAACTGAAAAAACGTCCATCCATCCATTATCTTGCACTTATTCCAAAGTCGAGTTGCGGGGGCAGCAGCTTGAGAAGAGAGGCCCAGACATCTCTTTCCACTTCCAGCTCTTCTAGGAGGACACAAAGGTGTTCCCCGGCCAACTGAGACAGTCTCTTCCCAGTTGGACATGCCCAAAGCACCTCCTTAGGAAGGCACCCAGAGGGCATCCTCAACTGGCTCCTCTCAATGTGGAGGAGCAGTGGTTCTACTCCGAGTCTCTCCCGGATAACTGAACTTCTCACCCTATCTTTAAGGGAGAGTCCAGCTACCTTGAGGAGGAAACTCATTTCAACTGCCTGTATCTGTGATCTCAATCTTTCAATCACAACCCAGAGCTCATGATCATAGGTGAGGGTAGGAACATGGACCAACCAGTAAACGGAGAGCTTTGCCTTACAGCTCAACTCCCTCTTCACCACAACAGACCAGCACAGAGTTTGCAATACTGCAGACGCTGTACCAATATTGCTGTCTATGTCACGCTGCATTCTTCCCTCACTCGTGAACAAAATCCCGAGTTACTTTAACTCCTCCACTTGAGGCAGAACCTCATCTTCGACCTGAAGAGAGCAATCCACTCTTTTCCGGTTTAGGACCATGGCCTCAGAATTGGAGGTGCCGATTCTTATCACAGCCGCTTCACATTCGGCTGCAAACCGCTCCATTGAGAGCTGAAGATCACGGCACGATGACGCCAACATCGTCTGCAAAGAGCAGATGGAATCCTGAGGCCACCGAACTGGAATCCCTCTGCCCCCTGGCTGCACCGAGAATTTCTGTCCATAAAAGTTACAGAATCAGTGACAATGGGTGGAGTCAAACTCACACCCTGAAGGGGTCCCACTTACTACCAGAAATGCAAACCAAACGCTTGCACCGTTTGTGTAGGTACCGAACAGCTGTAGCAATGGGCCCCCAAACCCGTACTTGCAGAACCCCGAGGAACACGGTTGAACACCTTCTCCAAGTACACAAAACACTTTAGTTAAGTCTGTTTAAAGAGCTGATCCAGTGTTCCACGTAGTTCCTCCTGGATCTGAGACTGAGAAAACATAATTAATATAATCTGTCTCTATGACATTGATTTTAAAAAGTACTTAACACAATCCCAAACCACAACTGTAAAAAGAATCTTGAATATACCAAATTTACCATTTATCCCCTACAAAATATTTCTGTATGTAGCAAAAACAAGCTACACAGCATTAAATGAATGTGACCTACTTAATACTGAATTACAACTTAGTTTAAAGCTATGCAGCGGACAATTCAAACACAGCCTGTAGAGAAATGACATTTTAATCTAACTTTAAAAATAACATTATTGTGAGAGGTAATGCTCAGAGTTTCTGCAGTCAATGACTCTCATCTACAACCACGCCAAATTTTAAGCCAACAGCTGGAAAAATGACAGGGTTAGTTGGCTGTGGCAGCCATCTTGTATTGATTAGATAATACATCTAATGATTACTTTTTGACAATTTCTTTAACCAGTGGTTCATGAGATTATTTAACAGACACAGGTAAAAACTTCAGCAGATCAAAGCATCCCAACATCACTATCAGTCCTTACATGCTTTTAATTTATATTATTGTACTCTATATAAGATAAAAGCAATGCTTTAGTTTACTTGTTTTTTTTTTTTTATTCAGCAGATTTTTTAATAGAATGCAAAGATTCATTACTTGGAAACAAGTTCAAACACTGTGTCTGATATGGCATACAGAGACAGAAAGAGAAAAGACTGCCAGAGACAGGATCATAACCATTATAAGAATGTAAACTTTATAGAACAAAAGATGATAAAATGCCACATGAAGGCATCCGTATTTACTGGTCATAAAAGTGTGACTTCAAATAAACGACAAAACACTCCCCACAAAAACATCTGCAAAGTGTCACACAGATATACAGTGAAGACAAAAATAAACTCATCCTTTTTTTGTCTGTGTGACTTCACCTACCGGTGGTTTCTAAAATAAATGAATTTACACCTTTTGACTTACTGTCACATTTACAATTAATGTATTAGGGAAGCATTTGTTTGCAGAAAATTGAGTGTTCTTCCCAAAATAGCCGGTCCATTTGAGTAAAGAGGAAAGTGTGAAAAGTATGACTGGCTGAAACACACTTAACTATCATTCCCACAAGGAGGTCACATGGTAAATAGCAGATTGGCAACAGTGCAGGTTGCTCAAGCTAATAAAGGTCGATTAGAAAAGAGTGGAGAATTAGGTTATTATTTAAAGATTTATGTAGCATTGCTAGCTGGATAAAATTTAAAATTCTGCATGATTAGAAGAGAAGCCAGATTGTAGGGATGAAATGTAAAAAAGGAAGAGTGAATAAGTCAACGTTTGTCGTTCAAGTTCATCTCGTCAATGCTTCCTGTCTGTGTTGGTCTTTGGAATGGTGTCAACTTGATGGTCGCTTTTCTCTCTTAACGTCTGTAACCAAACTCATCAGCGTCGTCCGCACGGAAGTCTCCATAGCGCCAGATGTTGAGCTGATGGGAAGATAGACAGATTTTACAGAGTACAATTAGGGGAAATGTGATGAAGATTTATGTAACGTATGCAGGACATTACAGGTTAAATGTTCAAAGAAAAAGTAAAAAAAAAAATGATGGAAGGGTCAGTGTGGGCCATTTATTCTCATCACCATTTAAACAGACTTTTTGTGCTGGCCCATTTCAGTGGGCCTACAATGCCTCAGATAGCATCCAGTCTATTACTTGTCCTGTTCCATACACAGACCTTCTGCATCGCCTCATAAACCACCACTGGCATCCTCTATACAGCCTGAATGGAAAAATGTGTATATTCATGCAAACAATGTAAAATTGTTCAGTATTTTCTGTGTGTGTGAAGCAGCCTGTTTGTGTGGGATTTTTTTTTTTTTGGAGGGAGGCTCTCAGAGGCCTGTGCGCTGAGCTGTTAACGCTGTGATTCATAGCTAATTAGCAACTGCGCTAATTATCAGTAGTTATTAGGATGAATGAAATGAAGCCATTTCCCATTTCTCACATGACTTTGTTTCTCCTCCTCCCAAACACCCTGAAAACATGGCGGTGACTCTGATAGTAATAACAGTCACTACTGTAATCACCTCTGACTGGCTTATTGTCTGAGCTTGCAATAAGTGAACAAAAAGGAGTGACTGCTTTAAAATGTGGAGCCACGATGTTTGGTATGGCACATAAAATGAAATCCAATTTTTTTTTTAAATTTAGAAAAATTTATTTTTTAATATTGTTCTATTCAAATGGGACATTGAGCCCCTTTAATAATTGATATGTTTGCTTAATAACACAAACAGGAGTCAGAAAAAAGAAACAAAATGTAGGCTATTGGTGTGGTACAGATGCACCTCTGAATATCAATTATTACTTGTATCACTGCTCGTTTTGTCGTCTTACTCAATAAAGGCAAGCCGCTTCCAAGGATGGCTGCAGGTAGGGGAAACTTCTGTAAAGCTAAAAGGAAACTGCATCATGGTTGAGCAATTATACCCCCATGCACTGTCTTTTTCAAGTCCCAATAATACAATATTTGTATCCTGTAATATCAACATTTTCAAACCGTTGCAAGTATTAGGCTGGTGGAAATACACAGAAACTACACCTATAACATAGGCTTGTCGCGATAAATAAATCAATTAATCACATGGTTAATGAAAATTATCGACATAATTTTCATGATTTATCGTTTCTTCATGTCTCTCTCTTTCTACTGAAGACACTGGATGACAAAAGACTCAACTGCAGTGCTCTTCACTGACCCCTCCCTTTCTCTTTAAAATCCATTTTAACCATCCAAAATCGTGTTTTTGGATCGTTAAAAGCGGCTAAGCTGAGAAGCTAAGCTAACAAGCTGACCTCGGGAATAAACCTCCATCTTTTCAAGCTCCAAAATTCACGGTTGAAACCTGTGCCTTTGTGTAAAAAGAAAATGAGAACTTGTTTACTGATTTTTTTTTTATTAAAAGCATTGTGTGAAAAATGTTATGCTAAAGAGCACAAATAACCGAGCGTCCGTGAAGTCACGTCAAGGGCCCTCCCTCCCATTTTTCTTAAAGCTGCTCAACTATCCATCCTTTGGTTCAAACAGTCTTATACTACCATCAGGTGGTCAAAAAATGTACTACACCCCAAACAAATCCACATTTCTTCCAAAATTTGACAATTATTGCTAAATTTCAAATTTATCACAATAATTTCTAAGACAATCACCCAGCAAAATGTGTTATCGTGACAGGCCTACTATAGAATTCTAGACTTGCGTGGTAGTTTATTATCTACAGTATTCAGGGTAACTTCAGAAAGTTCAAGACATAAACCATCTGAACTTTATTTTGTAACAGAAGATGTTTCACTTCTCATGCGAGGAGTTTTCTCAATTCAAAGAGCAGAGAATGGGGTTAGAGTTAAAAGCTGAGGTAAGCTAGATACATATGCAGATTGTCCTATCACTTCTGACAATAGGGGTTCATTAGGTGCTCATAAAGAATTTAATGTTCTTTTAGTCTCTACCTGAAAAATTACCCAATTTTTATTGGTGAATCTTATATATATATTTTTTAATCTGAACACTTTTTGTCTGCTTGAGATTGTGTGGACGATCAACCATAAATTGGGCCCTGTTCTCCAGTGTAATTTACTTCCACTTTTTCAAATACACTATGTCACCCCCCAGTTTTAAAGTGCTATAAGTCATAATGGTGTGGCTATCAATGTAATCTGAGACATCTTAGAAAAAAGGCACTTTCTCTGCCATCTATGGGAGAGCAAATGAATTAGTGTTGCGACACATTCTTACTATGGCTGCATAACATTCAACAGAAAAGAGTAAAAAAAATAAAAAAGTAAGATTGTGATTGGTATAAAGTTACTCACTCTGGCACTCTTGGCAGATTCTTGACTGTTCAGATACTCTGTCACCTAAGGCAAAAACAGATGAGTCATTAGCATATCACATAACTGCGTCACACACAGAATTTTAAAAGATTACAGTAAATCAACGCATCTTTTCAACCCGCTTTGCCTCTGGAGATGTTCTCTTTTAAACTTACCTGTAAGGATTTTTTTTTAACAAAGTTCACTTTTTTGTCAAGAGTACTTGAACAGCCTCCATAAAACACTGACTGTAAAGAGCACAGTATTCTCAGAAGATCAACAGGATCAAGATAACACAGACGGTCTGGTTATGTCACTGCAGGGAATGTGGAACCCACAAGCGTGAACAACATTTCCGACGTCACGTTATTGCTCACTTTTTAGGGTCAGTGCTTTTTCCACAGTGAGCCGAGCACTTTGTGCCCAGTCCAACGACTTATGCCATCAAAGTCACTTGAGATGAGCGCAGTTCCTAAACTCTCACACCTACCAGCCTCAGGCCAACACCTCGTCAGTTTGTAGAAGTGACTTCTAACCAAGTGCAGTCATAGGACGCCATAAGGGAGCCATGAGCTAAAGGGGGGTAAGCCCCAAATTGTACTTGTGTCTGAAAATTCTCAGAAAGGCTTTGCGACAGGGGAATCACAGATGTTTGAAAGCACATTGTAAAGTCTCTTGCACAGATATATATTTTTTTTTTGCCTTAAAAATGACTTCATCATAGAATCAGGTTTTAATGTGTCTTCCTACTTGTACTGTAATATAGAATCATGTCCTATAATAACATGCAGAATATCACTAAGCAAAGACTGGACACACAGAGAGGATATGTATTCTTTGATGCTGGGCAAATTGCACTTTTCTCCATTTACGGTATTTAATACTTTGTTGGCATAATGTGACATTGATCAGAATTACAGTAGTGAGTTAAGAAATAACTTTGTAATTCAGGCAATATAAATATAGTTGATTCTCTGGACATACAGAGAAGGCCAGTGTGTGGTGTTGAGCATATTGGCCGCTTCTGCTACAACAGCCATTTAGCCTGATTGAATGAACCGGTGATGAGTCATAGAGCGGGGGGGGGGGGGGGGAGAGGAGGATGGAGACACGGTGCTTGCTGCTGTGGGTACACCGTTAGTGGATGTATGGACCTTGGAGAGCTGGAGTGGCAACGCATCTGGGGTGAAGCTGCCCTTCACCGTTCCAATATCACAGTTTGCATGAGACCCCATCAACACACACGGTCCTTCCACATAGCAACCCAAGAGTATCACTTTCTGTTACTTCAGTATATTTTTGTCAATTTTGTTTATATAACAAACAAATTTAGTCTTTTTTGGATTAGTGCTGACATGTGCATGACAGCAGAAAGAAATTGTCTCTAAACAAAGAACAAAATCAAATTTCACTCGTAGCAAAGAATAGTCCACGTAATGGATTGAATTGTGCTCCGTGTTTTGCCACTGATTATAGCAGCAGATGAGTTGGCGTGCACACAAGCACCAGAACAAGCATGCCAGATGTTAAAACAGTCGAGTGGGATGGGGATGGATGGGACTCTGGAGTTTAATTGCTTAGCTAGCTTGTGCACATAGGTTGATTAGATAGCTATTTGCACTCGGCACAGCCAAGACAACAGACATATAGCTGAAATGGACGAAGGCTGTGTAGAAGCACATCTGAGTGTGTGACTCGGGAAAGTGCTGTGACTGCACAAGGCATCCATCAAAGCCAACTAAAGGAGAGAGTTTTTTGGAAGGCAAAGGGATATGGCATGTTAATCCCACCAGGCAGATGTCACCATATGGTGGACCCAGCCAATGATGTTTCACAGACACGAAAGGCTAGTGATGCCATTTGTGCTTTAGAGAGCTCTCACTGGTCATGGTAACGTCTGTCTTTCCTAAGAGCAGCACTTGGATGTTAGGTGGAGGCTAAAGTGTTGTAGATAAAGGTTGCTTATCTGCCAGTGTGCTGTTGATAATATCTAAAACCGAGAGGAACACAAAAGTGAAAACAGGCACACCAAATAATACATGTTTTATTTAATCTGTACTTTAAAGTTGAGTCTGTTTCAGTGCAAAATGTTTTGCGACAGAGTCAAGAATACTACAGTATAATATGCAAAGATGAAACACAGCCACATTAAAATAAAATAAATCAGTACTCTGATCAGGAGGGTGACTCTCCTGGCTCGCCCTCATCTTTTATCGTTCTCAGTTCAGTGCAATGAACACAACAGCCAATCAGCTGAGCACTGACGACGGCTGGTTTAAATTCGGAACAGCGCTACGTGTCAGGCACCGGATCCTTCATTCACAGCTCCTCTATTGACTCCAGTAGAGAGGCATAATGGCTCATTTATGACACGAGCACATGCAAAACCCACCCAACAGGGCAAAGACAAGGTTTTTTCTCATTCGGGAGACAACTGTGCCATCCAGTAGAGGAAGTATGAAAATGTTGGTGGCAAGACAAAGAAGCAAAGATGATTAAAAATATCAGCAGAGAAGTTCTCGTGGAAAAGGATTTAGGGTAAAAAGCATGATAAGAGTTTGGGTATCAAAGAGCAGCTGGTGACAATGTTTGTCTGGATGACCCAACTGAGCTCCCATATGCTAGACAGATGCCATTATGGCGAGCAGTGGCTATAGACACTGGCAGTAGGTATTACACTGTTTAGCTAAGAATGTAACTGTATGAGTGACCATTGATGTGCATGATCAGTTCTTATTTACAAAAAAACTGCAAGTTTGATTCCAATGTTTAGGTTTTTATAACACAATTGTGTTTAATCGAGTTGATCTTGTACATTTAGGAACAAAATATGCATAAACACCATAAGTCAACTTTCCTGCATGCAGGTAACTATGATGGAAGCCTTGGTGGGAGATCGAATGGAAATGCGAGGCTTTTTGTAAGCTGAACGACAGGTGGTGTGGGCCTGGCAGTTTGGCACTGGTCGATTTGTATGACTGGCTGCAAATCTGCGAGAGTGAGCGCTGGCCCTCGTGCCTTGTCCAGGTGGTGTTCTGGTAAACGTGGTGTGAAAGTGATGGATGCGAGCATGGCCCTTTTTTAACAGGTTGTGAGTGTCTGGTGCGTAGGTGAGCTGCTTGTTTTTCTTCATTTTAAAGCTTGTGAAAGTGATTTGGAATCAAGTACATATCAAATGTAATCAAGGTCTTTAAACTGTGTGTACACCTCCAGTTGTTTCTAATGATACAGCATGTCAGGTGACTGAGACACTACTGAACCAGAAAGGTTGTTGTTTTTTAATTTGCAAATGTATTAACCCTAATCTCTACAAAAAAAAAAAAAAAAAAGTCACTATCACCCTTTTGTCATCATCTGTTTCATCGGTCCTTACTACCATCTCATTCACTCCATCTGCAGTTTAACATCTTTCAGACTGCACTGAAGGCAGAAAACTCTGCACAAACCAGTTCATCATCAGAGCATCTATGGGCACATAACAGCTTTTATGTTTGAAGCTCACACAGTTTTAATTTGAGTGTACTTGGCGGCGAGTTTGTCCTAAGAGACATCTCTCACTCAACATGCCCATGCATGAATACTGCACAGCAAGCAGAAAAGAGGCCAAAGCTTTTGGGGAAGTCTCTTCAGACTTGTCCTCATACAAGTGGTTTGATAGAAAGGAGCTTGTCTTTAAGCACTATGACTAACCAAGGCAAGAATACTAGAAATCTTATGTGTGTGTGGGAAGAGGGAATTCCCAAATGCTGATGAAAATACTGACATGCAACAACTGCAACTTTAAGTAATCTACAAGAATTTGTGAAACGTGTTACAAGTATTGTGTCAATTCTACACTGCTTTGAGATTCACTGCAGCTGATGTGCATGTAAATGATGCAAACATTTCCTCAAGATAGTTTTTGTTTTGCTAAAAATGTTAGGTCACTTATCAAAATCTACCTTTTTATCTTAAAGAATGAGCACATTGTGTGCATGAGTGTCCCCCATCTGAGGAAAACTGGTTTTCATCTAGTTGCCTTCTGTACACCCCCCCAGAAGATCAGACAACTTGGTGGAAACTAATAAGACAAGCCCACCAGCATGGTTTCATAGAGTTAAGAGGTCACACTCATGGAAGACATGTGCACGTGTACCAACAAGTACACTCTAGTGCTCTCCCAAATTAGCTGGAAACAACACATGTAAATAAATCAGGGTTCCCAGCACTTCATGAAAACCCAAGTTTTTCCTGAAATTCCAGGGTTAGGGTTAGTCAGTCACATGACATGCTCATACCATAGCGTCTTAGGTAGAAAGCAGAATGACATCCAGAGATGACAGTAACTAAGTACACTGTAGAAGCAGGACTAAAACTTAATTATACTAGATCCGCATCAAATTTCTTGAGTTATCCCTGATTTTTGATGTTTTTTCAAGGTCGGAGTTTTCCCTGTTTGGTTTGGGAAAAGTGAAAGTCATATGATTTCCAGAGTCGCTGAGAATCTGATAACTACCAGTATTAAGAGTTTTTCTATCTTTCTTCCAGTAAAATATAGTCTGACACTTCCACTCCCCTCCTCTGCGTTTTTAAACCTGCAAGTGATTGGGAAAAATAGTGTGAATCTAAGTATGCACAACATCTGTTGAAGGTGGAACAGTGTGTGTAAAGCAGCGTGCATCAGCTAGGACATGTCAAAAAGGCCGACACAGCAGTGGCGGTAAATGTACTTAATAATGAGCGAGCAGAAAAGATCCATTAAAAGACTTAATCTCTAACTTTACTTGTAAATTAGGTATTGAACCATTGGTGGGGAGAAGTCATGCTGTCACACAGTTGTGGAGCTCAGTGGGATATGTGTTCGTTTTTAAACTTTATTAGGATAAGAAGAACACAACTGATGACATGAATGGGGAGGGCAGCTGCCTGAAAATGTGGAATAATGTTGCAGACATGTCTAAGACCATTTTTAGATGATGTGGTGAAAAGTGTAGGTTTAGGCTGATAAGAATCCAATAGTTTTCTGTTATTATTTTAACTGGTATTCCCCCCCCCCCCCCCATTGT